GGACCACCACCTCTTGGTCACCTTGGCCTGTCAACTCAACCGACCGATCACTTGGGTTGGACAACCCAACTAGCCGGCCAACCCAATTAACCACTTGGGCAGGCCACATGATGGATCACCTGGCCAGCCACCTTGGTCTACCACCCTAGCCAGCCATCCACCATGGCCGACCAACCCAGCCGCCACTTCAAGGTTCACCCAGCCAACCACCCTAACCTACCGGTCACCATGGGACGACCATATAAAAGCTATATTGTCGGCCACCTAGGCCGACCATCGAAGACCACCTGGGTCAACCACTTGATGCCAGCAAGTCCAGCAGTAGAAAGCTCCAGGGGGATCAATGTAATCAAGGAAAGGACTAAGGTAACCCTCACATCTCATGTTAAAGCAAGGGCATAAATGTATGTAATCTCTCTCCCAATTTATTTCTCTACAAATTGTTGAGTCCTTACATGTAGAGGGGGTATTAAGGGCGCTCCCTCACACACTCATGTAGGAAGCTCGCTCCCCTTCTCCCTCAATTGTAACTGAATTTTGTGTGGAATAATAAGGGCCGCTGAGCCCTGAGACAACCCCTCTTTGCCTCAAGACGAGACAACTCTCTCTTTCTCTTCTTCCCTCGAGTTTGACACTCTTTTCTTTGGACACGATCCAAAGGACAGAATTGGATTCAACACTGCCTATGAATATTCGGCCCATGTGCTTCTTGGCTGTCTTCAACATGACTTTTTGATAATCTGAGTGGACCTTTTATTTCTCAACCCTTGAACTCACTTATCCAGTTGGTTTATACTCAAGGACGGGCTAAATGCAATCCAACCCTTCATTAGTACTAGGAGCCACATTCGAATGTACAATTAAATTGATAATGAGCATACAAAATTTACCTAGCTTCGTATGATCAACACACTAATGTCAAATTTTCATATTTCTTTTGTAATACATTGTTAAAAAGTGTTTTCAAAAGATAAGGTAATTGCAAATGCAAATAAAACTGAAACTTAATTGTATATAGATGAAGCCAAAATTATTTCCATGAAATTGTTATATAGCAGGTTTATACACCTAAAGTGTTAAATGATTAAAATTTTATCGTATTTAAAATAAATAAATCAATTCACTTTGTGAATGAATGGAACAAGTAGTTTTGTAAAATGAATTGTAACTTGAGTAAAGCATGAAAAATATTCTTCATTTGATTAAATAGTTTACTAAATTTTCAAACTGTGGTGTGACCAATGAGTGTGCAAAAAGATGACATTCCAATGCAGGTTCGGGTTTAGGGGCCGGTAGACTATTGTGCCATAAGAGATTTTGTGGCACAATGTTTTAAGAAGATGATTGTGACATAAGAAAAATTTTGACATATGTTTCATAAATCATCATGCCTTTAGTTGATGGATAACACTTTCTAAATCATCCAACATTATGAGCATTCATTTTAAGAAGTTGTTTATGGATAGGGGATGAAAAACATCAAATATTTTGATTTGGGGAGTGATGCTCATGCTATCATATTTAGGCAATTTAGCATTGTTAATGTTATAATATTGATGATATCTTGAATGGATGGAAGCCTGAATTAATATACCAAATTGTAGATTTGATTCTTATGGAGAATCAATGGTGATGAAATGGAATTTGGCAATATGATAAATGATGAACTTTACTCATAGAGAACAATATATTGTTACAATAAGGGACCTATAGAAATAATTAATAACTCAAGGGGGTGTTTGGTTGCACTTTGAATTCACGTTAAATAGGATTTAGTAAATCCAAATTTATCAAATCCATATGCTATTAAATCCATAATAGTGTTTGGTCCGGTTGAGGTTAAATCCAATAAAGTTCAATAAACGTGTGACGTGTTTGACATTTTATTCCAGTTGAGCGACACTATTGTTTTTTTTCTCAAGCTAAACCCGTCAAATCCACCAAATATTCAGATTTAATGAATTCTGATTTACGTCTAAAAACAGGCAGAATGGAGAAGAAAATGAATTTAACAGAGCACTGGATATAATTTCTTATTTTTTCATGTTTGGATGGATTTACGCTAAATTGAGTGATAAATCCTGCTAAAAGTGCTCTACCAAACATCCCACATAAAATCAAATTTTTTTTTTGCATATCTAAACCAAACATTCATATTGACATGCATACCACTAAAACTTTTAACATCCATTCACAAATATCACAATTACTATATTTTAAAGGGGCCTTTTTGCACATGTCTCACAATTCTTTTGTATTTGCATAGCAAACACCAAAACTTTCATATTTACATTGATAATACCCAAAACCTTAACATCACTTCAAAATTAAATACCACCATAATTAACTTTTAGTAATTAAATTATTTTATGACCGTTATAATTATAAAATATCAAATTTTAGGTGTAAGATATTTTCGTACGTGCGAATTGTGTGCAAAGAATTTAAATTTTCCATTTCTGAAAGGGAAATACCCATTCATAATAGCATGTGTACCTTAGCTATGCAGAGGATAAGAATCATGGGTTATATATGTATGTGTATATATATATATATATATATTATGACTATATGTAAATATCAAACTTGTGTGTGTTAGATATGTAATTAAACAAAGCACAGGCTTAATCCCAATTATATAGTACTTATATTTAGGTTCCGTTTGGGGCAGCTTATAAGTGCGGGAACGCCGCCGTACAGTTTGGTTCGCGCGTATCGCCAGCTTATCCGAAACTGTGTTTGGGTTTTTACACTAAACGCAGGTCGCGGGTTGACCCCTGCGGGCCGCGTTTCAGGATAAGCAGCTTATTCTGAAACGCACAAGCTACCCTAAACTGACCCTTATTCATTATCTTCCTTATAAAGAATCACCCAAAAAGCAAGTGTAATTAAGTACAAGTACAATGGAAGGATCTAAGCCTTCACATGATCTCATTAACTATGGTCAGCTTTATTGATATATGCCTCTACATTAGCTTCCATTATGGGTAAATATGCATGGCTTTGATAAAGTTGGCAACTAGTCTCTCTCCCTCCCTTTCTCTCTCTCTCTCCTATTTATTAGCCACCTTCTTAGTTGCTCATTTTAATGCTTCATCTGCAATATCTTCACAGCTAACCACATGCATGCCTTAAATGAACCTTAACAAACTCCCTGACTTCATCAATATAACATATGTACACTTTTTTCCCTTCCAAATTTCGTTTGAGAAGACGTTGAAGTTCTGTTAGATTGCAGTGAACGCCGACAATTACAAAAGTTAATTTTTCTCAAATTGTTTCAAGACATGTTATTTTTTCGTGTTTTAGATGGCAATGGGCCTTCGTCGTTCCGCCAGTGCCTTCAAATAAATTTTGCTGATCGACGAAGCTCCTTCAAACTAAGCCCGAGTCACGTTGTAAAACACAGTTTCCCACCAAGACGTTTTTAAAATCTTTTACGCTTGTAACATTTTGCATTATAAACATGCATGGAAAAAGGATTTCACTTCTTAAAAAGATATATTAATAATGATGAAAATATAAATGTTTAGATGTTAGATATGTAAATATAAAATAATTTTGTGGTATGTATGTAAATGCTCCAAAATTTTATTTTATCTTTCACACTTTGCATCATAACTTTATATATATTTATGCAATTGAAATAATAATATTAAATTTATATTTATTATATCATTATGACTGAACTATAGTGGTTGAATCAACTACAAACCTTCAACATTTTCCTGACATTGAAATTAAAATTTAGGGGGGTAGTAAAGCATTAATCATTGTGCAGACGTCAGAAAGTCAAATACATATGAACAGTGAGCTGGATTAATTTAAAAATTATTTTTTTTTCTTCTATAAATGATCCAGAATTTAATGTATGATCCAAGCACGTGCACATGCCATACTATTTATGCAAGAAGATCTATTTTCATTGAAGTTTGAGTAGCAATAAACTAAATGATAATATGATTATTAACATAACTTAATCAACACAAATCATTAAATAATATATAATTTGAATTTAATTTTTCGTAAGGATATGTCATTTGCCAATAAGGCCATATATAATTGGGGCATTTACATGCAAAGCACACCCATATTCCTATGTATTTATATATCAAACACTAAACTTTACTTTTTTACATTTAAATCAAGCAATTCTTTCACATCACGACTAAAATATCACTATTTTCATTTCATAAAAGAAATAAAATGCAATTTTTCATGCATAGATGAAAGGGCATAAAGATAAAAATTGAAGTTTAATTGATAGATGTTAGGTATGGCTCATAAACTAGATAAGGGACGGATGTTGGAGCGGAACGGAGCAAGCCAGTGGAGCTCACGAGCGGAGTGGGTTGGGAGTGCGGGGCAACGCCCCTGCAGTACTGTACTGGGGTAATTTTATAATTACATATTGTACTGCATCTCTCTCTCTCTATATATATATATATATATACATATATATATATTGTAACCCTATGGGGTATGCTGTACTCTTTTCTTGAATTAAAAGAAAGCCGCTGCTCTGCTTCAGAAGTCGTAGGCATCTTTGCCGAATCTTGTTAAATCTCTATCTTTCTTCTGGATTTGTGTCAATTCTTGTGTTTCTTTGCCCTAAATTTCTAAACATTGTGTGAATACATAAGAATTAAGCGACATGATTGTAAATCTTTCTAAATGGAAATATTATTATGTGTGGCTGACTGCATACGTCGAGTTATCGCATAAAATCCCGTCGAGACCATAGTACGAACACACGCAATCACTCACATATTATTTTCTCCATGTCAAGATCACTCCTATCAACACGTGGTATTTGATGAAGGGATTGGTGCATGAAATTTTATCCTTGTAAAATTACAAGGATATCCTACTGATAACCAACAGACAGGTATTAAATCACTAATTACACTTAACTAACTCCAATATTTTCTTATAGAAAAATAAACCAAATTATCCTTCCCTTCACTGCGTGAAAATGAGACCGTTATATATATAACCTAAACCCTCGCTTCATCACATCTTCCCCAACAGAACAAATATGGAGAGCAGAGCAGTTTCAGCTAAAGCCTTTGCTGCGGCAGTACTTCTGCTCATAATGAGCACAAGCTTTCTGAACGTAAAATCACAGACTTCAACTACTTTAGTTCCTGCAATCATTACTTTCGGTGATTCAACGGTCGACGTTGGGAACAACGATTATATTCACACGATTTTTAAAGCTGATTTTCCTCCTTATGGAAGAGATTTTAAGAACCATGAGGCTACAGGAAGGTTCTGTAATGGAAAGCTGGCGACTGATATAACTGGTAATTATGAAGAAATAATAGGGTATAGGCTGTAATATTTGAGCATTATGGAAGGTTTGATTTATGAAGTTTTAATTTTATGTAGCTGAGACTCTGGGATTTACAACGTATCCGGCTGCTTATCTGAGTCCTCAGGCTTCAGGGAAGAATCTTTTGATAGGGGCGAATTTTGCTTCTGCGGCTTCTGGGTATTATGATGGCACTGCAATATTATATGTGAGTTTTTTTAAAATTTTATAGTTATTTATTTAGATTTTTTGGGTTGTGAGAGGGTGAGGAGTACTGATTGATGACAAAAAAATTGGATTTTGAGATTGAAATATTTGAATTGATGAACTGTGGATGGAGTTTATGTGGAAGGTGGATGGTGAGAATTTTCTAAATTCAATTTAAATCTTGGTTTTCTCCTGCAAGTTTTGGTTTTGATGATTTTGATTATTAGAGTTTTTCGTAAATATAAAGATAAAATGCTCGTTTCTGCTGAATTATTTCGTTTATTTTAGATTTTTCAGTGGTCGTATCTGTGGAGCTATTTTAATTATAAGCTTGAAATGTTTCTGCTGAATTATTTCATTTGTTTCAGATTTTTAGTGGTTGTATCTGTGGAGCTATTTTAATTATAAGCTTGAAATATGGATAATAAGAACTGTAAACTTATAAATTTTTCTTATAATAAAAAGTTATCATTAATTGAAATGACAATTACAGTATGAGATCTATTCTTAAATCTAATATGCTGAGTAGATATTGTTGGTTGGCCTTTGACTCACTTTGGGTCGGCAGACTTTTTTTGCTAAGTGGGCTTGATTTCACCGGCCAACTATCTCAGCCCGGTTGCTGATCCCTGGATGCAAAGCTAAGCTCCTGTCGGCAGAATAAGGCCAGGCTATCTGGTATAGAGTGAATAATGTCATGCCTCGACAATCAGGTTCTTCGGGATGTTCTTGAATTTCTTCTTCACCGATCCTTGCCCTCCCTAAAGAATCTCGGACGGCGTCTGTGAGGTGATTGACAATGCTGAACTTTTCCTTTGGATTGAGTTGTGACGAGAGGTAGGTCGTTGACTCTGATTGGTTCGAATAGCTTCGGCCTTTGGTCTAGATGGCTAGCCTCGGGTCAGCCTCTAGCCCAGATTTAGGGAGGTCCTTAATCTTCATCCAGTAGGTCCTTTGGTCTTCTGCCGTACTTCTTTGTCAGTTTCTTAAGCTATTTGGACCTCTTTGAGATTTATGCTGACGCTTTGTCTAAATATTGAAAAAATTGAATTTGCTAAAGTAGTATCTTAATGCCTCAGTTCTACCTGAATTTGATAAAACATAAATAATAGTTAGAATTTTGAATCAAAACCTGCAAAACTCGTTTTTTTTTTGTTTGTAATGAAATTAATATGGGAATATTGCAGCATGCCATTCCATTATCACAGCAGTTGGAATACTACAAGGAATACCAGTCCAAACTGGCCAAAGTTGCTGGGAGCAGTAAGGCTTCCTCCATTATATCAGAAGCTCTGTATATTCTAAGCGCAGGAGCCAGTGATTTCGTGCAAAACTATTACGTTAATCCTTATCTGTACAAATTCTACAGTGCTGATCAATTCTCTTCTTTTCTGGTTGGAATCTTCTCCAACTTTGTCACGGTGAGTAAACATATTTCTCTCTGGATTATTTTCTGCATAAAATTTCTTAATTTTGGCTTCTTCTTATGTTTATATACCATGCGAGTTTTTTATTTTATTTTTATTATTTTATTGAGTGTATTTAAATTTTAATATTAAATACATAAATTTAATTGAAATAAATGTATTTCGTTATAACTTGAACTTGATTGTGCTTTTGATGATAATAGAATATAATTTATGCTGCTTTAATTTAACCTGCTTTAATTAGTGGGAGAAAATACATTTAGAAAGAGTGGGTTAGGTGTGGCTGATATGTCAGACAAGGGACAGATGCCGAAGCGGAATGGAGCGGAAGCATCTATTCAATCGAGAAAGTTTCGTTAAGTGGGTTGGGGTGTGGAGGCAACACCCTCGCGATACGGTACTTGGGTAATTTTACATATTGTACACTAGATTTATATATCAGGAAGCCGCCGCCCTTGGTCCTGAGGACGTAGACAAATTGCCGAACCTCGTTAAATCCGTGTGTTCTTTCTTGTGTTTGTTGATTCATGCGCTGATTTGCCCTCATTTCTTAACAGAGTGAAATTTGTTAAATTGTTCATTAGGTATTAGTTGTGTAGTATGTATGTAACTTCCCTCAAATCGAAATCATTGGTCTTATAGGATTTGTACAAGCTTGGAGCAAGGAGGATTGGAGTCACCTCTCTGCCACCAATTGGTTGCCTTCCGGCATCCATCACACTGTTCGGAAAGGGAAGCAATGGCTGTGTTTCAAGGCTGAACTCAGATGCCCAAGCTTTCAACAAGAAGATTAATTCAGCTGTAAACTCTCTCACCAAGAAACTCCCACAGCTAAAGATTGCCATCTTTGACACCTACCAGCCTCTCTATGATCTTGTTACATCTCCTGCTAAGAGTGGTATGTAGATAATATACACTTCCTTTAACTATTGTATATGAGATTATTGATCATATTCATTTTCAACACAAAAAGCTTATTGCATATGAGATTATAATTTAATTTCTTTATTTAAAAGCTTGGTTTGTGTGAATAGAATTGAGTTTGACTCGTATACAACAACAACAACAACAAAAAAGCCTTAATCCCACTACATGGGGTCGGCTGCCTGAATCATTTTTCTCCATTGCGTCTTATTTAGTGTCATAGTTTCATTTAGTTCTAATAAATTAAGATCATTTTTAATACAATAAGCCCAAGTCATCCAAGGTCTATCTTTGCCTTTCTTAACATAAGTCGAATCTAAAACATCTACTCTCCTAATCGGATCCTCAGATGATCGACGTTTAATCTGACTCGTATGTTAGCATCAAAATTGTGTAATCCTGACATAATTTTTCATTTTGTAGGTTTCTTTGAGGCGAGAAGAGGGTGTTGTGGAACTGGAACTGTAGAGACAACGATATTGCTTTGCAATCCTAAATCAATAGGGACATGTTCAAATGCAACTAGCTATGTTTTCTGGGATAGTGTTCATCCATCTGAGGCCGCAAATCAGGTTTTAGCAGATTCACTCATCATAGAAGGCATTGGCCTTATTGGATGAGAGAGGAGAAAGAGAGATATGGGGAAAATAATTAATATACTTTCTATTTTACTATTATGGAGAATGTGTATTTTCCATAATGTGGGGGCTTGGTTGAGCTTAGGGAAAGGCCTCTTCAAAGCTTGTGATGTGATGTTTTGAAATTAACTTGTATTCTATGTACTTGTCTTTTGTTATTTTGGGTAAAGGCCTCTTCAAAAGCTTATGATGCGATGTTCTTGTTTTGTTGTTTTTTAGGAGATGGTCTAAGTTACCCAAAGAATAAACAATGTTACGGGACAACAATTATGTTGGGATTGCATGAATCTTAAGGCTATTTATGTGTGTTTTATATAATCATTCAAGAGATATAAAGGAGATCAACATTCAACCACATGTTTCACTTGTTTTGTTCAGTGGATGGATGGAAATTAAAGGTTTTGTTTCTGGTTGGGTCAGTACTTACATGATGATAAAGTGTCTATCCCTCCACGTGATACTTAAATGCTTTATTGCCTTATCATTAAAAAGGTTTATTAATTGTTCTACTCTTCTGTGCATGTTTATTTTACCAGGTGTACTATGGGACAGTTTTCCAAATAAATAATTATATTTATGCCACTTAATTCCTATATTTTTGCATATCTAATTACATGTATATTTTAATTTTTTACTTATATCACCTTAATTAAACATATGTAAAGGTGTGTCACTAATTAAAAATTAAAACAGCGGCATTTTGTATGTGTTATAAAATACAAAATAGGGGTGTAAACGAGCCGAACACGAGCTCGAAAAGTGTGTTCGTGTCCGACTCGTTTGCTTATCGAGTCGAACAAGAGCTGTTCATGAAAATAGAGTTCTTTTCGCAACCCTAATCACATAGCCATATGATGTTAAGGGTTGGAGCAAGACTTAAAAATTATTGTTTATATTAAAATATCATTTGA